AATTAAACTTATTTACAAGCGTGTATTATATATATACAAATAGTTTCAAACGGTTATAGTATTCAAATAAGCGAATAAGAGGAAGGATGAAAAACAACCTGTCATTAAAAGCAATAGTATTAGTAAATTAAAGAAATAAATTAAAGAAAATTAAAGAAAACCTTCTCCCTTAATGGTTATCTGCAACACTTGTGGATAGTTGTATCAAATCATTTCTTGATAAAATTCTCGTGATAAAGTTCAAACTTGCTCGAAAAAGGTTATATATTTTTGTCTTCCTTTCACTGGTCATCATGGTTTGCAAATTCGATCACAACTTCAGAAATTTCTATCTTCTGCCTATCCACACATTTCTTTACGTGTCGTCTTTCGTCCTTCTTTCCGTCTTTCCAATTTCTTTCCATTTAAGGACAAAATTCCCGGTGAACTGAGATCACATGTGGTGTATTTGTATAAGTGTCAATGCTGTAGTGCATTGTATGTTGGTCAAATTCGCCGACACATACACACGCGTATCTCTGAACACATGGGTGTTTCACCTTTGACTGGAAAGAAACGTTCTGTTTCAACCATGTCAGGCATACTCGCTCATATACATACCACTAAACATCAAATTTCACCCTCTGATTTTAAAATCCTTCCCACTGCTAGTTCTGAAGCAGATCTACTCATTCGCGAAAGCCTTTTCATATCCAAGCTTAATCCTACTTTAAATGCTAACATTAGGTCAACTCCTCTTGACCTTTTCTAATGCTTTGCTAGGTCTCTAATTACTAACCATTATTTCTTTAATTTACTAATACTATTGCTTTTAATGACAGGTTGTTTTTCATCCTTCCTCTTATTCGCTTATTTGAATACTATAACCGTTTGAAACTATTTGTATATATATAATACACGCTTGTAAATAAGTTTAATTGCTCTGAAGATGTTGTGAACAATACGAAACGTTAGCCAATAAATTTTATATTTTGTTATGTCTTGTCTGAAAGTCATTTGCTGGACTTTAATTTTCATTATTATCCTTTGACAAAATCGTTTTTTTCACGCACGAAGTCTAAAAAAATCTGGGTAGAAAGAGTTATATTTTAGTTTGTTAAGTTATACTGGCTATTTTATTTGCATGATGATCATATTTTAAAGTCTAGATTGATCTTTTCCATATGTTTGTTCCATCGCATGCTAAAACAACAACGAAATATCTCTCCAAAGCGGGTAAAAGTATAGTGGGAAATCGATGTTTAGATAAATTTAACAAATTTTTATATAACCTAGCACGAAATATTAAGAAAAGATCAAAGAGATTCAAGAAAAAACACATTAAAAACCCTAAAATTCACTTTTTGCTATATAAAAATATAGAAATTGTTTTGTTTTTGCATAATAAGCCTCGTTATCGTGCAGTATGAAGGCGCGGCCACCAAGTTTCGCAATTGGTCACTATCTAAAACTTGAGTTGTGTCCCGTATCGTCCCGTATAGTCAAAATTTTGATTCATGAGAAAATTAGTAATAATAAGGTGGAAGCTTTGAAAGGGTGGGAGAAACGCCAAAAATATTCTGTTTTCTCATTTTTTTTGTCCAAAAACAGGAAATTATACATTTAAGTTCTCGAACACAAAATGGGAAGAATTATTGTTCATGGAGTTAAGGTAACGCCCTCACAATATTATGCTATGTTTCACTGCTTCATTTTAGCTCTGGTCAAACTGTCCCAAAGAGTGTCGTTGAAACCGCAAATTCGACCTGTCTGTCTTCCACAACATGGTGTCAGTGTTAATGAGGTTTCTGGACAGGAATGCTACATCACAGGTGAGGGAATTTATTTTAATTATTAAATAAGTTCTTTGCATCTTTGCATGGAGAAAATAAATGTAATCGTTTTGGTTTATGCGAAAACCGATTCTTATGGAATTCTGCTCTCTGTACGTCTTACTTTACATTTGCCATGTGGATATCATGAAGGTACTGCATAGAGAAACCTTTATCACAAAGCGAAAATATCTATGACATGTGAAACACGGATTCCATCGTTATTAGTCTTTAGCTAAATTTGAATAAGAGAAACATCTCACATATTAAAATGAAATGTGTGACATAAATTTTCTGGACCGACAGGTTGGGGACGTACTGGAGCAAGCAAACCAGGAGCAACAGTTCTTCAACAAGCTAGACTTCCTGTTATCTCCGAATCAAAATGTCGTCAACATATGGGATCTCAAGTAACCCGACAAATGGTAAATATCAGATAAACCTTCAGTGTGTCGAGCTATGTTTCACAGGTGTTAACAAACAAGGAAACTTTTGTCAGAAATATTTACTCATGCAGTAAATTGCTTATCAATAAATGAATAAGTAACCACTAGGGCATATCAATCCGCCGAGGAAATGCTATGACTACAGCGGCAATTCCGAGGGCTGACAACTGAACTGCTATACCTATACTCAACCATACATGGCCATACCTCCCGCTGCTTCAAGTGAATTGTCACAGTTTCTACAAACTCTCCGTAGAAACTGAGCGTGTGACCTTCCATGCAGCAGTGGGGGCCTGCAGAGGAGGTAAATGCAAACGGAACTACATTGGCCCCACATAAATCCGTAAGCGGCTTCCCGAAAAAAATTCACTAACTAATAAGCAACCAAATTGGAAAGCGAATTTTAAATGAAACCTGTTAGTTGTCCTACCAATTGCTTTGACAACTTAATAAAATAGGCAGGTAAGTACCTTACAAATATTCATTAGTATAGTTTAACACCTGACATGCATTCTCATATGCATGCATGCATACACTTGAAAAATACGTATCAAAGTGTTTACTTAACATTTTGCCAGATTTGTGCCGGTTTTGGTGGTAATAGCACAGTCAGTGGTTGCAATGGTGACTCTGGAGGACCGTTTGTCTGCCGTGATAATTCATCAAACCCTTGGATCTTACAAGGGGCTGTTTCTTGGGGAACTAGAACATGCAGTGCTGGACATAATGAATTCACAGTATTTGCACGTGTTGCAGAATTTGTCAATTGGATAAAGCAACAAGTCGGTAATGTGCCACGCCCTTCATCAGGTAATAATTTATTTTTGATGTAATTATTTCTTAATGCAATTGCACAGGGTGTGGGTTCCAATCAAGCCTTGTGACGTAAGGTCTATCCGCAGTCATTTCAACCTTGCTTCCCTATATGACATTATGGGTTGCATGCATTCCCTATTTATTGCGTGACTGCAGAGTTACGTTTCCATCTTCATTTACAGGCCATATGTAGTGTTTTCCTTTCCCTCTTTACTTCGCACTTCGTGAGGCCAGGGCGGGGATGATGTCGAGTCAAATGAGACCGAAATGGAAGTGAGTCAGGTCTGTTCACATGCTAGCCATCTATTCGCCACGCGTCAAGCGAACTTTTATACAAAGAGCTAATGACTTTTTTCGATTGAATGTCCAGTCAAGTCAAGCACGATTACAAGCTCTCCCATTTGGATAAATTGGATCATTGACTGAGTAAACCAAATACTAATAAGTTATTGGAGATCGTATGGCACTAACCCTAACTGTTTAAAATATACAATAATTACTAACCCTCATCGAACCTATTGTTTTCTCTCTGCATTATATCAGCGAATGTCGAGAAGTTTTAGCGTTCTTCTGAAAAACGGGAGCGGTCTTTTTTATTGTAGGGGAATTCCCAGGGGTAAATGTTTATACGGGCTAAAATAATGCAGCGTGCACACAGCATTATTAAAAATAATGCTGCGTGCACACAGCATTATTAAAAATAATGCAGCGTGCATCAGTGCACACAGACATTATTAGCAATAATGTATCTTCGTCACCCTGACATGTACACGCGATAACGCGAACATCTCAAGATGAAAAGGTGACAGTGCTAAAGGCCCCTCATACACTATCATCGGGCGCCTGAAGCACTGCCAACAAGAAAATATTTCTTTAAAAAAAGAAATAATGTTTCGTTCCAATATAATTATAGAAATACTAGACGTCTGTAATTAGCGGTTGTCACCATAGATCACTTGTATATATCGAGCAATGAAATCGGGCGATATTCCGAGGCGGGCGGGCTTTGGTAATTTTTTGCACGTTTTAGTAATTTTCATTATCCCATAAATGAGCTTCAAAAACCGTTTTCATTGGTCGACAGCGCTAGCCTTCCGCAATGATTTGATATACTCACCTGCTAGATTTGATACCCACCTGCGATAAGCAATCTCATTGGCTAATGACTTTGTGGCCTTTTGTTAATGCTGCCATGTCGTAAAATAGCAAAAAGAATATATGGGGGAAAGTCGAGATTCAGGTTATGTTTTCATGTCACGCAATCACGAAACCTCGCCCAATCCCCATCCCTAACTCTAACCTCCTATGAGATTCATGAGATTCAAAATGGCGTCAGTGTATATTTGTCAATAAAACAACATGATGACTTCAAATCAAGATGAAACCCCTTCGGTAAGATAAGAGAACAGTTTATATATTTTGTAAAGTTCTGTTTATGGGACAAAAACGTTAGGACACGATTTTCTTGGTTAATTTGTAAATAAACTCATTAATTAATTTTGAAACATTAAAATCGCATATCTTCTCTCTCCGTCCACTCCTAGATCACAGGGCCAAATTATGTCCTAAACTTAGTTTTGGAGTTAACATTGCAATTCGTCATTCTTGTCTTTGATAGGTTGATTTAAAAATGATTGACAGTAGAAAGATTACATCAGAGTCACATTTACGCTACTATTTTTAAGTACCAATACGTGTCACGCCCATAGATATCTACGCCATTTCCAAATTTAGATAACGAAAGCAGCCTAGAAGTTGTAAACATGTCACGGAGTTCCTATTTATATATTACAAGAGCATACAGAAACGAGAGTGCAATTATATAATTATGCCTATAATTAATATATACATATTTGTTCGTTTTTAATTTTTCGCATGAAGTATATTTGGCCAAGCGCAGTATGTTATCTGGCCTCGTATTTATTCTTAGCTTGGTCAAACTATTCCCGCGGTCCCAAAAAGACTAAATTCAAGAGTAAGGGCCAGGCTTAGATGAATTAAAGGCCAAGCAAGAGCCTTGTCATTTTGTCGTTTGTGTGTAAACGTACTGTTGTGCGGTTGTAAGAATTAGTTGGTGCTCAAGTAATTGGCATATGTTTTTTAAAATTATCAACTGCGCGTTCTCGGCAAGTTCCGCGAGCGGTTAAAGCGAACCGCCATCCAATGGGATGCATGCATGCATCTAGTAACTTGCCGAACACGCGCACAAAAAGGTGGGTACACTAGTTGTAGTTCTGTTAATCTGTCTACTCTGTGTTGTCAACTGATATAACTTTTGTCATTTTAACATTCGGCAATACCTGAAATCGGCCAACCGATCGTTTGTGTGTAAACGTACTGTTGTGCGGTTTTAAGAATTAGTTGGTGCTCAAGTAATTGGCATATGTTTTTTCATAGCTATTATTAATGGAGTGCCTCGCATAGGACTTTGAGTCCCGTTCGCACTCTACCGCTTGGACATGGTGCAATAAATTGATTTAAATAAATAAATAAATAAATATTTTATTCTGGCTAAAATCTAGGACACCACGTCGTCACACAAAGCGGATAGAACTTCGCGTGACAAGTTGACATATAATTAACTAAGATTCCCAATTATATACGCGCCACGTCTCCAAAAGACTTCTTATGCTAGGAGCGGTCATCTCATTGGACGATTCTAAATGTAATTATTGACGTTTCAGCAAGAATACTGGCAAAAGATTTGGATAACTTTGATATCTGACGTCACTTTCCTGTGACATTGCTCGAAACCAAATACAGTACCGTTTCGTTCCTGCGGGGAACGAAACAAAAACGGTCACTGACCATAGATATCTTATATACACTAGATAGTGCATCTAATTATTCTGCAATTCAAAAATTGAAGCCGTGATTGCAGTCTCAGGTCGTTCCCATGAAATGAGAAGATTCGTATGTTTTCTAATTTTAAACAGGGAACTTAAACATTAAGTTAACCCTATTGCAAGTAAGTTTTTAAACTATTCAAATGATGAAAGTTATTGTTGTTTTTAAGCGTTTATTAGCAAGTAGGAACGACCAACATGGCCGCCATCTATTCAAATGGGGGTAACCGCTGCAATTTTATGGCTTCAATTTTACTAAAAGAGATGCGCTATCTAGTTTATATAAGATATTTATGTCACTGACTCACTGTGAGTCCTTTCTGTTTAATCAAGTGTTTATCCAGTTTAATACGCTCTTTGAATTAACCTTATCATGTTAATGATAATATCTAAACTAGAACACTATAATTGACCTCCGCTTGTGGAGATTTTAATTTAGGGCGATTAATTAAACTAAAATCTGTTCTATCACGATGCATTACAGTGCCTATGGTTATGTCTATATGCATGCCTTCACAAATGTCTAGTGTAACGTTGCATGGATAGGTTCATTGTCATTGACAAGCAGCAACGTAGTCTTCCAGCCGAAAATAATTACTTTTGATTCGGGTCAGTAATTATAATAGATAATTACTTCGGCCAACTGGCATTATTGGATATATTGCAGTATATCCAATAATACTGCAATATATCCAATAATGCCGTTGGCCTCAGTAATTATCTAATAAATAACTATTTACATGTAATATTACGATACACTTTTTCAGATGATAATACGCAAGGTGCTGACTTAATTTAATAAAATAAATTTCTTAATTTCGTTTCTTTTAGCCAATTGTAACTTTGACAATGGAGATACCTGCAGTTATCAATATGGTGCTGGACAGTTTAATTGGAAGGTTAATAGAGGTCCAACACCCAGTAGTGGAACAGGGCCAAGCTCTGACGTCAGCGGCAGAGGTAAACTGTTAAGTTAACATTTAGGTCTTAGAGACAGTGAAGGATATGATTAGCGTTACGATAAGGTTCCTTTAGCATTTGGTTTTGGATATTTACGATAAATCGCAATTAAGTTTGGCTAGGATCTTAACGATAACTTATTCCATTGTTAATAACACTAAAAATAACGTCGTTAGATTATTAAATCGTCGGTGTTTTTCTCGTCCTGCCCTAAATACATATTAAGAAAACTTAAAAATTTTGATTAAGGCTCCCCATCTGGGAATTGGTTCTCTTTCCCTGGGGCGGATAAGCAATATCGGTGTTACCGGGCTTTAACGTAAAAGCCCCCCCCCCCCCTTGGTGACGTCATGACCAAGCGGAATATCAGCGAATTTTCTCTTTCTGTGACTCGAATTATAATTAAGGTAAAGAAAAATTATATTTCTATATTGTTATATAAAGATAATCCTTGCCAAATATTAGATTTCATATTATCACACTGTATATACCTTGCAATTTATGCTTCACCGCAATAAAAGTCTTTCCTCAGCATGTTTTTAATATATTTTTCAGTAAAAGTTCATTTGAATTATTGAAATACAAATTTAATACAATCGACTGGCGTTATTCATATAATTATGTAATCGTTATTGCCATGGTTTCCTGCCTGAGAGCGTTCAAGCTATTTCCAAGCCCTTGATAAAAATTCAAGGCCAAGGATAAGCTTCTTCCCCAATGAACTAAAATCTATTTTAGTACAAAACTAGGGGCCCATTTTTTGCACAAAACTGGGGGCTCACCGGGCGATCGCCCGGTAGCCCGCTGGGCTAATCCGCCCCTGCTCTTTCCTTTTTTGTAAGTAGCTTCGTCAAAACTCTATCATGTATTGAAACCAACAGCCTACGCAGGACTCCCATGCAGATTAGTGTCACCGAAAAAAGCATGAATTGTAGATATCCTCGGCGCTCAGACACACGTTACAAGATGACTACCTTGAAAAAAATGTACACCATGGATGGATATTCGGTGTAACGCGATTTCAGTTGATTCAAGTTCAACTTTGTCACGCTGCAGTAAATTTAGTTTTAGTCAATGAAAGTATTTCTCCAACTATTTACAGGTTATTATCTGTTCATCGAAACATCAAGTCCACGACAGTTCGGTGATAAAGCTACAATTTTAACGCCTTACTTAAACGGCACGCAATGTATGAAATTTTCTTACCATATGTACGGTGGTGGTATTGGAGTCCTGAACATCTATGCGAATAACCAAACGATATTCTCAAGATCGGGAAATCAAGGAAACAGATGGATAAGTGTGGAAACGTCAATCTTACAAGGTGGAAAATATATAGTGAGTAAAGAAATCAGTATTTCAGATACACAGACATGCAACATTACAAAATTTGAGCCAAAGACCATTCTTTTTTGAAAACGAGAAGGAAGAGGGTCCTCAGGAAATTTCGGTACGAACGTTGGTCATTGTCTTGTCGTGTCTGACACGAAAGGATAATCCAATGCTGTTGTTGCACAAAAATTTAGTGTGAATTTCCTTTTCAAGAGTCAAAATGAAACTGATTATCCAAATTATTTGTATAAATATTTAAGGTTGAGTTCGAAGGTGTTCGCGGTGGTAGTTACGAAGGAGATATTGCAATCGATGCTATCAGCTTCACTCCAGGAAGTTGCCCATTCCAAACACCAAAACCACCTACACCTCGACCAACAAATCCTCCAACATCATCAACAAACCCTCCCACACAAGCAGGTACTGTAGTGGTTTACCACTTTTACAATTTTTTGGTTAATACAACCAAGTCATTATATACCAATGACGATCGCATGTCCGGGTTGTGTTCCGCTGCGCTTTCATCTTCCAAGGTGTGGATGCTGACTTACTGCGACGTCCAATACCTTTTGATAGGAACTTGCCTCGAATTTGGCTTTTGACAGGAATTTGTACTTAACGCAATTACACAGGGTGTGGGTTCCAATTCACTCCACCAAGAGGCTAACTAGTTTCATATTAATCTGACACTGCAATCGACCAACGTAAAATTCGTTGGCTCGAGCGGGATTTGAACTCGCATCTTCGGGTATCTAGACCGCCGCTCTACCTATTGAGCTATCGAGTCAACAGGAATTGGTAGCGAGTCTTATCCAATTTAAGTGCACGAAATATTTTCGTGACGACTAACGCTTGTCTTAGAGGACGCGCAGTGTTTCAATTCTATTTCAGAACCATCCTCAGAGATACGAAAAACTAGTTTCATATTAATCAGACACTGCAATCGACCAACGAAAAATTCGTTGGCTCGAGCGGGATATGAACTCGCATCTTCGGGTATCTAGACCGTAAGTCGTCACGAAAATATTTCGTGCACTTAAAATGGATAAGACTCGGTACCAATCCCTGTTGACTCGATAGCTCAATAGGTAGAGCGGCGGTCTAGATACCCGAAGATGCGAGTTCAAATCCCGCTCGAGCCAACGAATTTCTCGTTGGTCGATTGCAGTGTCAGATTAATATGAAACTAGTTTTTCATATCTCTGAGGATGGTTCTGAAAGAGGCTAACGATAAATGTGCCCAACAACTGATGGCCAAAGGATTAGTTTTTGATGAGGGAGGAAAACAGGTCGACCAGGAAAAACTATTTAAACCCAGGAGAGAACCAAACGAAGAAGCACATAGAGTATCTCATTGTAAGCAAATATACCCTACGCTGGATCAACAGCAGCAGGCTCAATTCAGCGTTAACGAGCTAACCACATCAGTTACTTCAACTTTGCTTTCCTATGTTATTATGGGTTACATGCATGCATTCCCTATTTATCGCGCAAGTGCAGAGTTACGTTTGCATCTTCGTTTACAGGCCATATGTAGTGTTTTTAATTCCCCTCTTTAGTTCGCACTTCGTGAGGCCAGGGCGGAGTTGATGCCGAGTTAAATGAGACCGAACTGGAAGTGAGTCAGTTCTGTTCTCATGCCAGCCATCTACCGGCCAGGTGTAAGGCATAAACTTATGGAAACAGTTATTGACTTTTTTCCATCGAATGTCTAGTGAAGTAAAGCACAATTACAAGCTCTCACATTTGGACAAATTGGATCATTGACTGAGGAAAGCAAATACTACTATTAAGTTATTGGAAATCCTGGTGCCAACCCTAAACCTAACTGTTTAAAATATACAATAACTATTTATATGTAATATTAGGATACACTTTTTTCAGATGAAATAAATTTCACTTTCTTAATTTCATTTCTTTCAGCCAATTGTAACTTTGACAATGGAGATACCTGCGGTTATCAAAATGGCGCTGGACAGTTTAATTGGAAGGTTAATAGAGGTTCAACATCCAGTAGTGGAACAGGGCCAAGCTCTGACGTCAGCGGCAGAGGTAAACTGTTCAATAAACTTTTAGGTCTTAATTTCAACCTCAAGTTCAACTTTGTGACGTTACAGTTAGTTTTAGTCAATGTGACTACGCTTTCCAACCTTTTACAGGTTTTTATCTGTTCATCGAAACTTCAAGTCCACGACAGTTCGGTGATAAAGCTACAATTTTAACATCTTACTTGAACGGCCCGCAATGTATGAAATTTTCTTACCATATGTACGGTGGTGGTATTGGAGCCCTGAACATCTATGCGAATAACCAAAGCATATTCTCGAGATCGGGAAATCAAGGAAACAGATGGATAAGTGAGGAAACGTCAATCTTACAAGGTGGAAGATATATGGTGAGTAAAGAAATCAGTGTTTCAGACACACAGATATTACAAAATTTGAGCCAAAGACCATTCTTTTTCCAAAACGAGAAGGAAGAGGGCCCTGAGGAAATTTGAGTACGAACGTTGGTCATTCTCTTGTTGTGTCTGAACCCACAATACATTTGCCTCCAACCCGAAAGGATAATCCAATGCTGTTGTTGCACAAAAATTTAGTGTGAATTTCCTTTTCAAGAGTCAAAATGAAACTGATTATCCAAATTATTTGTATAAATATTTAAGGTTGAGTTTGAAGGTGTTCGCGGTCGTAGTTACGAAGGAGATATTGCAATCGATGCTATCAGCTTCACTCCAGGAAGTTGCCCATTCCAAACACCAAAACCACCTACACCTCGACCAACAAATCCTCCAACATCATCAACAAACCCTCCCACACAAGCAGGTACTGTAGTGGTTTACCACTTTTACAATTTTTTAGTTAATACAACCAAGTCATTATATACCAATGACGATCACATGCCCGGGTTGTGGTCCACTGCGCTTTCAGCTTTCAAGGTGTGGATACTGACTTACTGCGACGTCCAATACCTTTTGATAGGAACTTGCCTCGAATTTGGCTTTTGGCGCGAATTTCTACTTAATGTAATTACACAGGGTGTGGGTTCCAATTCACCCCACCAAGAGGCTAACGATAAATGTGCCCGACAACTAATGCCCAATGGATTAGTTTTCGATGAGGAAGAAAAATAGGTCGACGCGGAAAAAACTCTTTGAGGACAGGAGAGAACCAAACAAAGAAGCACATACAATAACTCAATGCAAGAACTCAAATCTACCCTACGCTGGATCAACAGCAGCAGGCTCAATTCATCGTTAAGGAGCTAACCACGTCTGTCATTTCAACCTTCACGCCTTCCTATGTTATTATGGGTTGCATGCATGCATTCGCTTTTTATCTCGCAACTGCAGAGTTACGTTTGTATCTTCGTTTCCAGACCATATGTAGTGTTTTTAATTGTCCTGTTTAATTCGCACTTCATGAGGCCAGGGCGGGGTTGATGTCGAGTTAAATGATACGGAACTGGAAGTGAGTCATGTCTGTTCACATGCCAGCCGTCTATCGGCCAGGTGTCAAGCATAAACTTGTGTAAAGAGCTACTGACTTTTTTCCATCGAATGTCTAGTCAAGTAAAACACAATTACAAGCTCTCCCATTTGGACAAATTGGATCATTGACTGAGTAAACCAAATACTAATATTACAGTGCGTTTGCAGCAAGTGGGGCCACTTAGAGAACACTAACCAATCACACAGCAGAACAAAAATAGAAAAATGAACAAACGGCGCATTGACCAATCAGCATTAGGCCAAAAACAATTTTAACAAATAAACGAATGTCAAACGGTAAAAATAGACTTGAAAAGTAAACACTGCAGTTAATGGCTTCCTGAAGCTCTCTTTTGACTGGACGAGCTTTAGTTTGAGTAGATTTTAATTTTTATTTTGCAATGTGATGGGTTAGTGTTCTCTAAATGGCCCCACTTACCGTAGGCGCACTGCAAGTTATTGGAGATTGTAGTGCTAACCCTAAACCTAAGTGTTTAAAATATACAATAACTATTTACATGTAATAATACGATACACTTTTTCAGATGATAATGCGCATGGTGCTGACTTAATTTAATAAAATAAATTTCATTTTCTTAACATCATTTCTTTTAGCCAATTGTAACTTTGACAATGGAGATACCTGCAGTTATCAAAATGGCGCTGGACAGTTTAATTGGAAGGTTAATAGAGGTTCAACACCCAGTAGTGGAACAGGGCCAAGCTCTGACGTCAGCGGCAGAGGTAAAAATAAACGTTTAGGTCTTAGAAACAGTGAAGGATATGATTAGGGTTACGATTAGGTTTCTTTAGCATTTGGTTTGGAGATTTACAATAAATCACAATTAAGGTAATTCCGCAGTAATTGTTCCCGAAATGAGAATGTGCTGAAACTTCCCAGGCATGGAGTTTATGATATACTTAAAGTAAAATCACACAAAAAAGTCGGGGTCACCGAACTCATTAGGAAGATATGACAATCACAATATACCACCTTTACCCCAAATATGGCGCCACCTTGACGCTCATTACGAGTAACAGCAAACTCACAATAGCCCGATATTTAATGACGTTTTTAGCGCGAATTTTGCTTTAGTAAACCTACCTTGTAATTATTTTTGAAAAAATATTGTGTTTTGAGAAAAATGAAACTACTAACGTGTACAATTCTGATCCACAAATGTCTTTTGGACATTTCTTTACCTATCTTTCTTTGAGAACATGCATGGATAAAGCTTTTTTTTCAAGATCCAGATATGATTTTTCTTTTAATTTCGGATATGAAATGTAAAATGCATTAAAGAAATAAATTATCAGTTAAAAAACGGGGGTCACCGATCTTTTTAGGAAATTGTGGGATTAAAACGTGAAATACAAGTAAATAAATACACTACATACACAGGGAACCCTAGCTACACTTTTTTGAAAACATTGATTTTAACTAATTCTTTGCACGAATGTAACCAAAGATGTTTTGAAGTAACATAAAATTGTCATAAAATGATATTTTGTTTTAAACGGTGCGTATAATGGATTAAATTATAAGTTATAAGATGTGCGCAGTAAAAGTGCGCAATGCAAAACTGCGGAATTACCTTAAGTTTAGGTAGGATCTGAACAATAACTTGTTCCACTGTTAACACTAATAATAACGTTGTTAGATTGTAAAACTACCAGAAATAGATAAGAAAACTTAACGTTTTTCAGTTAAAGCTCCTGATCTGCAGAATGGGTCGCTTTTCTCATTTCTGAGTAGCTTGGTCAAAAATCGCTATAACTGTTTATTGAATCATACTGCCTACGCATGATTCTCATGCAGATTAGTGTAACCGAAAAAAGTATAAATTCTCGATAACCTCGGCGCTCACACTCCCGTTACAAGATGACTATGTTGAAAAAAATGGGCAACATGGCTGCATCGATATTTGATGTAAGGCAATTTCAATTGATTCATTAACTTTGTGACGCTATAGTAAATTTTGTTTTAGTCAATGAAATTATTTCTCCAACTATTTACAGGTTATTATCTGTTCATTGAAACTTCAAGTCCACGACAGTTCGGTGATAAAGCTACAATTTTAACACCTTACTTGAACGGTGTGCAATGTATGAAATTTTCTTACCATATGTACGGTTGTGGTGTTGGAGTCCTGAACATCTATGTGAATAACCAAAGGATGTTCTCGAAATCGGGAAATCAAGGAAACAGATGGGTGCGTGTGGAAACGTCAATCTTACAAGGTGGAAGATATATGGTGAGTAAAGAAATGTTTCAAATAAACAGACAATAGCACAATATTTTAGGCAAAGTGCATTCTTTTTTCAAAACGAGAAGGAAGAGGGGCACGAGGAAACTTCGACACGAAGCTTGGCCATTCTTTTCTTAGATCTCAACCCACAATATTTTTGCACCCAAAAGGATAATCCAATGCTGTTGTTACGCAAAAATATTTTTAAAAGCCAAAATGAAACTGATTATTCGATTTCGTGTATAAATATTTAAGGTTAAGTTTGAAGGCGTTCGCGGTGGTAGTTACCAAGGAGATATTGGAATCGATGGTATCAGCTTCACTCCAGGAAGTTGCTCATTCCAAACACCAAAACCACCTACACCTCGACCAACAAACCCTCCAACATCATCAACAAACCCTCCGACATCAACAACAAACCCTCCGACACAAGCAGGTACTGTAGTGGTCTACCACTTTTACAATTTTTTAGTTAATACAACCAAGCGATTATATACCAATAATGATTGTTGACTGGGTTGTGTGAATTGTTGAATGAATGACTGGGTTGCAATTCCACTGCCCTTTCATCCGACTTACTGCGACGTGCATAGCGCCGTTCCGACTGGGGTGTTGGGGTGTAACACTTCCTAAAAAAAGTCAAGGAAGGGGCTCAATTTCTCCATAGGGGGGGCCTAATACTGGAATTGTGGAACGTGTTAAATTAAGGAATTACGTGAAAAATTAAGTTCTAAATATCTATTTTTAAGCCCCTAAAATTTGGAAAATATTTTTGAGGACCACTTAATTTTGGAGGAAACGACATATCGGTCGGCACGTCCCTGAATGTTTAATGTTGCTTTTGGCAGGTATATTTGCCTCGTTGCCCTTCTGTCGTTTGTAGGTCCATATAGCGACTTACTACGATATTTAATACGTCTTGACGTGAACGTATTTTACTCTCCTTTTTTTTGTTGAAGGTTCCATACCAACTTACTAGGGAGAAGCTAAGCATCGTGGGGCGAGCATGAGCAAAAGCAACGATAGCCAGTAACTACATGATCATTCAACAATGATTACTAATGTCAACCTTTCTTGTTTCCGAACTTTAATTGATTAAACTATCATTGGCATTGCAATGTAGTTTCGAAATTTCAAAGGCAAAACTCGTAGTATTATAAATGTTGGGAATTGTATTTCTATCCATGTATAAGACCTGTTCTAAACGTCGCATTTTAGTTACATATGCCAAGTGCATTCAAAACAATAGATAATCAGCTGAAATGCCTCATTAATTATAAGACATCATCCATTGTTTTGAATGCATTCGGCGCATGTAAAATGCGACGTTTAGAACAGGCTTTATATTTGATATTTTGTTAAAACATTAAGCACGTTATTGAAATCACAATCTTTCCAATCTTTCATGCATGAAATATTGAAATAAATAATATAGAAATGGTTGAATGCATGGTTTTTGGCACACGCGCTAAAAATTGCAGATGCATGACATGCATGCATGCATGTAAACAAAACATTTAATACATATACAGAGATTGCAAAAACTTGCAAATAAGGTTTTTTTCATAGTCTTATAGTATAGAGAAGAACAACAGAATTACAGAATATTCAGCCCAAATCAAATCGAAATCGGGCTTTGCATCAGAATTTGATCCGCATGCAACTCATTCAGAAATCCTAGGCCGGTTTACACGACAACAGGCCTTAAAATATATTTTACAGCGCCGTCTGACAATATGTCCGATTACTTTGAGTTTGGGTCGGACATGTGTGATGATGTCCGATGACCTTCAGTTCAGTTTGTCTCGTAAATACGTCTAAATGACGCAAATCAATATCAGCACAATATATTAATTCTGAACTAAATGTTATGAAGATATTAAATAATTTGTGTCATTCATACTTATTATTTCCAAGCCAAGATTAACTTGCTTGTCAATAATAGCAGTACGACTTCGACAACTTATAAGCACGTTTTCCACTTCACCATTTCGCTCGCCGCCCCGGGCTCGATGACATTATTAAAACCAACATTTCCAGTTCATTTTTGTACAATAGTCTGGTTCTCCATTATAACATACGAGCCTCTAGTCCTGGACTAGGGTACATTTGCGTGGAGAAAGCGTCGGACAAAGGTACAGTTCGGTCAGACACCAATTCACTCGGGTCGGACAAACAATAAACCTCAGTTTCATTTAAGTCGGACAGAATGTCCGGTGGTTTCCTCTCTACGTCGGACAATTTGACGAATGGGTCGGACTATGTCTGTGACCGACCGATACTTTAAGGCCTGCACGACAGGCGTATTGGGCACGGCACCCCTGAAAATGGGCACCGTGCCAAAACTTCCACTTCGCTATTTACTCGTTTACACTACAACTTTTTGTAGAAACACTTTTATGATAAGCACCGTGCCCATTGGAAAAAAGCACCTCTACTTTCTGTCTACGACGGTATATTTTAAAGAATAAAGATGTCGCACAGAAATAGAATTATATATTTATATTTATATTTATATTTATTGGAATGAATAAGAGTATTATATGAGCCAAAAATCGAGAGAAAAAACCCAATTCAATACTACTAGAAAAGTACTTTAAGTGCCTGTTCATGTGGGCAAAAGTTATCCCGGTTAGCGAGAAAACCTTTCGACAAGTTTACAAGCGAGATCTCGCCTTGGTATGAAAATAATATGAAAAGTTAGACTGCGTTCATATGAGACAAAACGTTTTCCCGTGATATGGGGATCTCGCTTGTTGACAGACGTGATCTCGGTGACCGGGATGTTTTTCCCATATGAACACAACTTTCCCGCTTAGCAGGATAACTTTCTGTCGTGTCAGCAACTTTTCAATTCAATTGATGTTCAGTGCTACGTCACAGCCGGAAACTTTACCCGGTAAGCGGGATAACGTTTCTCCAAATGAACAGAACAAAAGTATTTGGCTAGTCGAAAAGTTTTCTCGTTAACAGGGATAACTTTTGTCCATATGAACAGGCCCTTAAAGACGAAAGGTGTTGTTTTTTCGCGCAAATGTCGTGTTATTTTGTATTCATCCGCCACGAATTCGAGAGGTATGGACACATCGAAGGACAGCCATTTGCTACGACCTAGTTACTGCTCTATTCAGCGACAAACAATGGTATAAAAATTTCCGAATAACTAGAGCAACATTCACATTCTGTGTTATTTTAAAGGGAAGTCAAGTCCGTTCTGCGCATCGGTTCTGCCCATAACAATGTGAGGACCTCTAATGTGAACATTGCCCAAATTTCGAATGTTTCGAATTTTTCTGAACATAAACTCTATTTCATATTCATTTAGAAGCATCGCGAACCAAAATGGTGTTAGATATTCAGACAGTACATCATATTTTAAAAAATACAGCAGTTCAAAATGTAAACAAACCGTTTGTTTACATTGCGGACTTGACTTCCCCTTTAATTTGTTTTTTCACTTTGTTTTTTTTATCTTTGGCAAGTTGTAGTTTTTCGCCGCTTGCTGCCATGTTGGAAAGAGGACAAATTGTTTTGCCCATGCTCGATGTCAAACATATTTTTTATATTTTTCGAAATTTGGACACGGCACCGCTTCCTAGACGTGCCGAGACTACCTTCGTGAGAAAGTCTTGGCACGTTTAATTTTTCGGCACCGATTTTTGTCACGTTTACACGTCAAAAGGCAGAGGTGCCGTGCCTAAAATTTAGGGTACGGATGCCCATTTTTAGGGGTGCCGTGCCCAAAACACTGGTCGTGTAAACCGGCCTTGAGAGGTGAAAGGCCGGCAAAATTTACTGTAAATCACTGTAGGACTGAAAGTTCTCAAAATAGCCGGTGCGAGGCGAAAGGGCGGTAGGATTGAAATCACTGTAGGAAAAGTTCCGTGTACGTACGCACCATAATGCATTGCGCTTGAGTTCGATGGGCCATCAAACTGTGGGGCTCGCCCCAATTACGATGCGAAATATATTTAAGTGGCAATGCGCCTCACTATTCTTTTACCTTTCCAACGACACATAACATATATTAACACTCATTAAAGATGCGGTACAGTCCGTATGTAAACAAAGGCTTTGTTTGCATTTTGTTATCCAAAATATTGAATTTTATTCGACAACTATTTATATTGTCATGATTCTAGAGTATAATAAATTATCAAGACACAACAATCAAGCTTTGAAAGAACATAAAATGAAATAAAAACCTAAATAAACTGTTTGTATAATAAAAAGAGGGCTCCTGTGTGTACATGCGCAGATCGGGCTGTACCGCATCTTTAATTATTGTTACACAGTCCAATAGGAACAGTCCAATACAAACAGTCCAATTGTTGCAAGAATGTTGCAAGTGTTTTGCTTTTATCTTTCCAACTTTCTGCGACGACCTATTGACATGCAGTAGTTCTTGATTGGAACGTGCATGCTCATTGCTTCGTTATCTATCCAAAGTTCTTTTTCCTACTTATTTCGATATCCAATAATAGGTCTTGATAAGAATGGGTGACATCATTTTATCTTTCCAAGGTCCTTATACCAACCCGTATATGACGTATATATATATATATATATATATATATATATATATATATATATATATATATATATATATATATATATATATATATATATATATATATATATATACATTTCTTTCCGATACCGACTTATTATGACGTCGAATATCTCGACCTGAATGTGCATCTTTCCAAGGTCGCTATATATACTGACTTATTACGACGTCCAATTTGCACCATTGCCTTTTTTATTTTTCCAAGGTCTCTATACCGACTTGTTACGACGTCCAATTTCTCTTGGCAAATCTTAACAAAAATGCACCTTATTCATGCCTCTTATCTTTCCAAGGTATATAGTAGACAGAACAATCACGACGTCCAATATTTTTTGACAAGAATGTGCCTCACTGCTCTTTTATCTTTCCAATGTGTCAATACCGACTTATCACGACGACCAACGCATCGTAACGACAGTATGCATTTTTTGCCCTTTTATCTTTCCAAGGTGTCGGCTTAATAATATGTCCAATACCTCTAGACAACAATGTACCACATTGCCCAGCTTTCCAGTACCCCTTTACAGATTTACTTACGATACTTTTCTTATCCAAACTATTTTCTTCTCTCCTATAGTGAGATGCAACTTTGATCAAGGTTTGTGTTCCTTCACAAATGGTGCCAATGATGATTTTGACTGGACAGTTCGTAGTGGAAGTACATCAAGTAGTAACACGGGACCTTCGCAAGATGTTTCAGGAAATGGTAATACACCGATAGTTTCGCATTATTTAAATTATTGAATTAAATGTCATATTGGATAATCTTGAGTGGATAGGTAGCGATAAATAATAATCTTGAAGGATTGTAGAATCAAATAATCTAAAAATCTTTAACAACGTCGACGTTCTTGTATATATTGCAAGTACTTTGATCCTACAGTCATTCCAACATATTGTTTAATATTTGAAATCCGGAAATGAGGACTGCATTTGGATTTCATGCGCAAGCAAGATGAAATCAAGGCCTGAAGCTAACTGCGAGGACTTGAAATCCCGTCCAGTCCGATTTTGAGGTATGGGTTTTGCAATGACATCTCAAAAACGAATAAATCATTACTTAAGTGAAGTGAATTAATTTTGATCCAAGCGTCGGACTGAATTAATTAAAATTAAAGTAAATAATAAATGAAACAATTATGACTTATTTATTGAGACCGAGCGAAACAGTGTGTTTTATGGACCCGAGACCGTCGATGTTTCTCGAGGCGAAACCGAGGGAAACATCGACGATCGAGGGTCCACAAAACACACTGTTTCGCTCGGTCTCAGTAAATAAGTGTTTTATTATATATCAATAGTCAAAGAAACAACAAATTAAATAACAAAAGAACGTAAATACATGAAATAGTTTAAATTAAACACTGCAGTAACTTAAAGCGAACGTTTAAATTACTACGCATGTCCAAAGGTCGCATCTTCACGTGATGGCGCACGTGATTTTTTTTCGTTATTCGCCGGTCGATAACGTATTGTTTCCCTCTCGCGCTGATCATGCAAGGGAGACAACCTAATTTAGTCACTCTCACGTGATATGCTGTCGACCAATAAAACACTAAAAAAATGCGACTTTGACTACTGGTATATAATAATAGCTACTGACATGTATTTATATATTTGTTTTCACTTGCAGGCAAGTATGTCTACATTGAGACATCAAGTCCCAGAGTGCAAGGTGACAAAGCCTATCTCGTCAGTCCCCAAGTCAACGGCAATCAATGTTTGAAATTTTCTTACCACATGCACGGCGCTAGCATGGGATCTCTTATCGTATATCAAAACATTGGTAATCGAATGGTGGAGCTGTTCAATAAATCTGGTGATCAAGGCAACCAATGGAACAAAGCTGAAGTACAAATAAACAATGGAACCAGTTATTCTGTAAGTATATACAACTTTCTCTCCCGATAAGGTTTGGTAAATATATTGATCTTGTATGATCTCACTTTAAAAACCATTCGGAAAGAGTTATTATTTTATAATCTGTCTTGAGCTATTTGTGTGTCTTATTATATGGCAAGCATCACTTCCGGTGAAATGGCGGACTGTGATTGGCTGAGAAGCACTTTCAGCCGGTCCATTATTTCTGGACTGGGGGTCCATTACGTAAAAACAAACGCATGCAAAACAAAACAGCAAAACTAATTGAAAATTATAATTTAATTTGTTATTAATAAGATATCTGCGAATGGTTTTTAGTGGAAAAGGAATACATTGGTATTTTGTGTACCACGCTACTATAATATGCATTTCAGATATATATCAAAACTGGTACTAATAGCTGTTTTGCGAAATTGAGAGCAATTTCAAATCTGTTTAAAAAATCAGCTTTTGCATGCTTAATTAATGCGTTTGCCTAATTTGCTTATGTCAGCAATATGCAAATTAGATAAGGCATGAATTAAGCATGCGAAAGGCTGAGTTTTTAGTAAACTCAGAGATCCCAAGGATAGTGCAAAGTTGATATGACAAATGACAATTAAGATTTATTTTGATTCGCATGTATGAAATAACTCCATGGCATATCCGTAAACCTCCGACTATAAGCCCCCCCCCCGTGTATAAGCCCACCACATGTACTAACGCTCACCTCATTCCAAATATAAGCCCCCCCCCGAATATAAGCCCACCCGAACATAAGCCCCCCGAATATAAGTCCCCCAATTAATATAAGCCCAGTAATCGTTGCTTAATACACATTTATTTCCCTGTTTATGACTGACTTGTTTATGTCTGACTTGTTTATTACTAACACAAAAGATCGTCCATGTATAAGCCCACCCGTATATATGCCCCCACTCCTTGTATATAAGCCCATCAAAAATCGCTTACGAAAGTACATAAATCAAGGCCAGGGCTTATAGTCGGAGGTTGACGGTACTGTACTACAAATATTAAACGGTGGAAATTGTTCTTTATATTAGACAAAAATGTATAATTTTATTAGAAAATTACAAATACACGAAAATTACAAATACACGAAATTTCCTCGGTGTTCAAAAAATTCGCACAGTATAATATTACAGTTTCTACTAGTTGTTTCATCGAAGTCAAGAATTAACTGCCTTCGAAAATCGAAATGAACAGCTTGGCAGCTTGCAAGAAATTGTTGTCACCTGACATTCGAAATCCTTTCGAAATTTAGAAAGCCAATGAGAAAACAGGACGGGTTCGAGTCGACTATGTCTCTGTGACTGTGTGCTGGCCACGTGCGCCATAAGTTGACAAAGTTGTTGTCTATATGCCATCAGAACAATGGCCGACATCCAAATATTTCTCACTAATATAATATTTTACAGTTTATCGATGAAATGCCGTTTATCAATTAGAAATACCAATAGCTTGACAAAAGCTTGGAATGACTGATTATATAAAACGTCTCGAAAACTATATGAAGTGACTACAGATTACAGTACAGAAATTTCTGCCACAAATATAAATATACTTCAGTCTTCACTACAGCACAGCACAGCACAGCACAGCACAGCACAGTACAGTACAGATACTAGATCATTCAGTTCACTGACGTCGCCGCCGTCGACCTCGGTATGTTGCCTCCGGAGCAATATTTCAATTTTATTACTGACACTGTACTATTATTAGCCATTAGGCCATGTAAACCTAGCTCTATCGCGATATTACAATATTAAATAAGCTATTAAACTGATACTGATATTAAATCAGCTGCTGACTTATAATTTTATATCAAAACTATATCCAATGGCACTTAGCCTATTCATGTATACATCGCTCCGTATCTTTGATAGATAAACCTCTACTATAATACTGTCAACCTCAGTTGTAATACATTCTGGTCTAGACGATTTCACACCGCCGCTTCGTCCAAGCCCGCCATTGTGAAATGATATTACATGAGAGCACGTGTTTATTTCATTTGTTTTATGTTGCAGGGGGGCAAATCATATAATAGCAAGTGTTTGAAATGCAACAGTAATTTGGTTATAACTTCTCTAAATGTTGGATAAAATAAGTAAGAACATGTATCATCATGAATATAAACATAGATTTTATAATCTATAAACAGCTATAAACGATTAGTTAGCCGAACGTCGCGAAGCTCTAGAAAACGTAATGTAAAATAATTTGTAAGCTCCCCTCCGGATTGTTTACACGATCCATCCATCCATTCATCGATCCATTGATCGGTCACTGGATTGAATTTTTGTCATAACAATAGTGCAAAGCAACTTTGTACTAAAAATGAATAGTTAAAGACCTTAAACTAAAGCAAATTGTCTGAAACTTTGTACAGTAATTCAAAACCCAACAAAGTTTTAATCCATTAACTCAAAATACGATTAAAGCTTTTAAATGTCGTGCGCAAGCCATTTTTAGTTTTTTTTTAACCCCCCCCCTGGTTTACAAAATTTGAGTTCGAGAAATTTTTTTCATTATTCTACATTATAAGTACCAAAGAAGCTATATATATACCAAAAATTGGATACTAACAGCTGTTTTGCGAAATTGAGAGCAGTTTCAAATCTGTTCAGTTTTTTTATACATCCTGTAGGGGGGGGGGGGGGCAGGGGGCCCAACTTGAGAGTGAGGGCCCCTTACAGTACCTCCACATGCAGTTTAGCTAAGGTCTATAGTTGGGTCTAGCTTAAAAATAATGATGTCATGTGGCCCTCCAATCTCGTACCCAGAGCAATGCCTGTGCGCGGGCTAGGAAGGCATTGGCTCTGGGGAAATAGACAACCGGAACCCCTAAATTTACGGGTTCCAGTTCTTTGTCGGCATGCACTACTGATAAACGTTAAACCAATCACACAGCACAGGAAAAATTCTATTTCCCCAGAGCCAATGCCGTCGCACAGGCATTGCCCGCGCACAGGCATTGCTCTGGGTACGAGATTGGTGCCCCCCAGGGCGGATTTGCCTCGGGCCCCGCAAATTCTCTCGGCGCCCCTGTCCTACCTACCTACCTCGGTCGTTTTGTACAAACCTCGTCATACGGGCTCGATCTGTTTCTCTGAAGTTAATAACGATGTTAGACTCCGGAAACGTTTTCACCATACGGGATGTTTTTCGCAGGGAAAACGATATCAGATCCATTGATATTAAGAAAACTATTTATACAATAACTACAGTGAAACACGCAATTTGATTGGTCAATAGTAGTGCAGGAACAGGCTATCCTGCACGAGGAATTAAAACACCTTCGCGGGATTTTCAAAATGTCTTTGTTTCCAAGCAGGATAGCGTGATCCATGCACTTGGGATGTTGCTCGACTTTCGGAAAGCGGGAAAATACACCGCCTGCGGCTCGAGTATTTCTACGCTTTCCGAAAGTCTCGCGACATCCCTCGTGCATGGTATTCCTTTATTCTGGAGTGATTTTGAAACTGCAGCTCCGCTGCAGAAATTTATCACGACGTTTCATGCATGTCGGATAGTTGTCGTGCCGCATCTACATTTAGTGTGGAGTCACGCCATTGTTTGTGCATGGGAACGGATTATGGGAAAATACAATTAAAAGGGCTTCATTTATTACACCATTACTATGGTCCGTGTTATGGTCCTGTCCAGTTTTTTGGACAAACGAGCTATGGCAAACTGAATATTCAAAAATCGGTTGTAACCTAACCTCGCGTTCACATTATACCGAATAGTTGAAAACGATACAAAACATTGCTGTTTACACTATTAGCTCGCCTGTATGCATCATAGTGCAGGCAGAAGAGCCATTGCCATAGTCTGGCGTCTGCGTCCGTGTTCACAGCAGATGATAAGGTGAATGTTAACACGTTACTTTTAAGTTTTAATTTAATATTCTGTCCATTTAAATGTTTACCGTTCGTCACAAGAGTATGATGTAACAGGAGGGGGGACTGTTGAACAAGACTTTTAAAATTATAAGCCTAAGTGTTAAAGTGCATAAAATGACAAGCTTAGAGTTGAGGTCTCACACAATAAATCTGGCTGCAGCTTGGAAATTCCTAAATTATACATTTTAAAACTTATTGCATTTTATTATCGGTGTATAGCAGCCAGCAAATGACGTATATACGGGAAACTACAACGATAAAATATCGTATTTTAAAGCATATAGCATATAGCTACTATATACATGTTTGTTTAGGTTTTATACTTTCATTGAGTCGTATCAAAATACACTTAGCTATTTCGTTTAAAATTATTGCAAATGAAGATATAGCTAGCTAATAGTAAATACAACAAGTTTACCAGGAAAAATTTAAGAATTTTGTCGTCAAATCAAAACGAACATTCTTATAAAACCCGCTTTATACATTTGCAGTTTTTACTGCGATTTTCTTCTCATGTATAGAGCCTATGTGAACGAGTGGATGAGTTAGGAATGTTTAGATGAGGGTACATACAGCTATTTCAATTAAGGTTGTCCCCGAGCAAAGCGGAAAAGTCGAATACGAGCGCGAAAGGCTTGCTGGGAATCGCTGAAAAATTAATGATTTTTTAGCGATTCTCAACAAGCCTTTCGCTCTCGTATTCGACTTTTCCGCTTTGCTCGGGGACAACCTTAATTGAAATAGCTGTATACTCAGAACATTCATAACTTCTTTACGAGCCTTAAAGCCTGGTTCACACTAGCAATTTTGTTGGGATTTTGTGTTTCTGACGGATGCAAATGAGTGAACTCGCACAAAAAAGTATATAGAGTTGCTTTTCAGAAGTAAACATTTCAAAGTCTTTTGCATGTCAATCATTCGATTACATTTACCAGGAGGAGAAAAATCGACGACAGAATTGCTAGTGTGAACCAGGCTTTAAAAAGCAAGATGTTAAATTATCAATATTTGTTGCACGACATTTGCGACATGATATTACACCCACATGTCCTGCATGCATTAATTGTGCAACGTTTATAGCCTATATATTTACATGCAAATAAATGCTCGGCGCATAATACCTAATGAGTATATACCTCTGATTTTCCATCTGTTTCTTATATTTTTTTAAAAACTTGAATGTTTTTAAAGTAGGCATTTACCGACGTATAACTTTGACCTGCATGAATGCATGTAACTTTGAGTCTTGTAATCGACGCGGATACTGGCGCGGATAAAGTAGCGCTGGTTGCGGTTTCTACTAGCAGAAGAAGTAGAAGTGTATAGCGGAAAAGAAAGAGGATATACTGCTAAAAGACAATGCGTTTTCGTTTATAATTAAATCCGTTAAAGTAACTACGGCGAGCGTTAGGTGACTTTGGCACCTATCTCTGGTATTGTATAGCTTTATGAAACGACCTATCGCATAGAGTGTAAATGAAGTCTCCATCATGATCGCTATGAACGGTACTTCATTTTAATTTGTTTTTCAAAGGTTGTATTCAGTGGAGTAAGAGGAAGTAGTTACCAAGGTGACATTGCATTGGATGAGATTTCAATCACATCTGGTCAATGTTCAATACCTCCATCAGGATCATGTGGCCAGAAAGGATATGGTCTGAGTGACTTCCCCAAAATTGTCGGTGGTCAGGACGCCACACCAGGTGAATGGCCATGGCAAGTAGCACTTTTGCGAGGAACATTCCCATTCTGTGGTGGTTCACTTGTTTCAAATCAATACGTTATTACTGCTGCTCACTGCGTTAAATCAACGGACTGGGATAGCGTGAAGGTAATTAAAACTCATGTAACCATGCCTGGCCAAGCCCACTGGAACCCTGTTTGAATGTTCAATGATGGTACCCTGACTGTTTGTACTCCTTTCCCCTTTGACCTTCACAACCAAACACATCAAATTTATCTTAGCTGCCCTTTTTTGCTTTTCCTAGCTTACACATACTGCAATCACGTGCAGGTAATTAAAGCCCACTCAAACAACAGAGGGGACTTTCGTCTACGCATGCGCGAGAAACGCAAGCGTGGAGTGCATGTGGGCGCGGGTTAATTGTGTGGCTGAATTCAAAAAACAAACACCAAATTTGCCAAAACTACTCGTGTTATGAAGTCGTTTTCTTGTTTCTTTAGTGTTTCTACGCTCACAATTTTAGGCATTTCCAACTTAGAAGTGTTTGCTTTGGAATAAGAACGTGAATGTAGAAAAACTTTGTTGCAGCAGTTTAATTTCGCCGTACAAATATACCTGTTTTATATGCATGTATATCTTTTTCGAAGCGGTGAGATATACAAGTGCAACTTGACCTTCTTTAAATTCGTACTTGCCCTATTTTTAACTTCATAAAAAATACTTTTACCATAGAGAAACTATTTGGCTTTTAAAAATAAGCTTGAATTATGGTGGTGATATAGGCTGATTTCTTTGCAAACAGTGATTCAGTCGGTAGTCTACTTGTTGTATATGAACAAAAGTCTAAAATTAATTCAACATCCATCAACAAAAAGGAGTCGCGCTTATTACTACTCTTTAGAAGATAGACAATTTTAAAATTTAATTCACTAGGAACCCGTTCTACAATATAAGCTAGAAATCGGCCAACAAATTGTCACGAAATACTACAATGAAAATAGGGTCTCGATCTGAACTAGCATTACAAAGAAATGTTGCGTTACCTACGTTATACCTTACACGTCGATTAAAGCCAAGTAAAGCCCTTCCAAACACGCGTGCCACATTAAACTGCAGGTCACATGGCGGTAGAGAACTCGACGAAGTATTCAGGATATTTCATAGCCAGTTTAAACGCCGTTGTGTACTATTCCTGTGAATTATGATGCCCAACACACCGTGTAACAATTGCTTTGTCTTTCAATTGCTTTGCTTTGCTTTAAAAACGGTCATTAGGTTGTTGAAGAGTTAGCCCAACAAAAAAAACCTCGATGCTTTCAAAAACCAGTGAATCACAATGCTGAAAACTTCAACATCCTTAGAAATTGCAAGTCAAACATCGAAAAACAAAATTTGCGAGAAAAAGCTCACGAGCCCGCACTATTTTTATGCAGCGTCGACAAAGTCCCCTCTACTCACTCGAACCCTGTTTGAATATTCCTTGATGGTCTCCTAACTGTTTGTGCTCCTTTTCCCCTTTCTCTACCTTCATACGTCCCTTAACAGATCTGTTAACAGACCACTTACAATTACACGTCAAATTTATCTAAGCTGCCCTCTTTGCTTTTCCTTACACACCATGAATTTGCTACTGGAAGCCTTTTGTTTCTTGTGTTAAAGAGTTATCCCCAAATAACTTTTCTCAAATTCCCCACTGTTTCCAATAATAGGTGTATTATAATCCAACACAATAGTTATTACCACTTCCGGCTATAATTCCAGATCATGCATGCATGATAACACTAACTAACTGAGTCTTCGTATCTTTCCAATTTGAATAAAACTAGCGAAAAGAGAAACCTTTGTTTATAGTCTTCTATATGGTTTATATACATTCTTCTTTTTCCATTTTCAGTCACACTTTGTTCTGATTAATTTCTCATTTTCAGATCAGAGTAGGTGAACATGATATGCGCGTGAATGAAGGACATGAACAAGATATCAGTATTGCAAGAAACGGCATTACAATTCATCCTCAGTACAACCAAATAACGCAATATAATAATGATATTGCAGTAATCAGACTTTCCAGAAGTGTTCAGTTTACACAAAGGATAAAGCCCGTCTGTTTTAACACTGGCATTGATTTCACTGGTAAAGTATCGTTATTTTTAGAGCAATAGAAAGCCTAAAATTAAAACGCGAGGTATTAAATGCTACCGCCATTATCAATATCATGTTTATCATTATCAACAGTCAAAGTAAGGGAACGTTGAAACGCTTCGCGCTTAATAAATAATCCTTTGCAATGGTTTGGCAGATGAAAAGTTTGAGGGCTGGTTGTGCAAAGACAGGTGTGACGCGAAATTCCTGACTTGCGAAATATCTGACTATTGTAGAACTGCCCATGCGCAGACGACGCGCATGAATGACTTTGTCTCATAAATTTCGCAACTCAACAGACAACACGTGTATTTATAAAGTCATTTTATTTATACATACTGATTTTCCAACATCAATTCTACAATTGATCAACTGAATTGACACTATACCACTGATTGTGAACGTTAGCGTTCAGCGATAATAAAGCTTGAATCGCAAATATGGAAAGAATCACTCGAAAAGCGATCCTAGTGATATAAAATAGACTCCAGTTGCAAAGGTTATGCTATATGCATTACGACACTATAAGTACCAATAATCGTTTCGCGTTTGACCTTCTCACTATTTAGTAAGCAGCAACAATGAGTTCGTCAGTTGGCCGTTTAGATTTGGCGATGTCTATATTAGAAACATTTGGTAACATCGCATATGTTCGACCGACCGTATTTAGCAAACGTTATGTTTTTGGCGGTCACGACCACACGATTCGCTTTGAAATTTAAAGTGTTTGTGATTGAAACTTAGCGATGTTGATTTGAAATATTTAACGAAGTATTAGAAATTAACATCATGATTATTTTACCAAAACTCTAAAAAACAGTTTTGGCCGACTTAGAAATTAGCAAGCGTCATATATTTCGCGCCTGCACGCGCGAAAATTCTGACCCGTCACGCTTGGGCAGGTTTTTTTGGCAGAGGTCAGGAATTTCGCTTGCATGACACCGGGCATGCAGTACTATCCACCGATATTTTTTAGCTTTCTAAAATTGTCCGTTGATTGGTATAACCCTGATTAAATTTCAGTATATAAAAATTAAGTTTCTTTTTATTAGTTATCAGGTCGATATCCGTAGTCTTATTAATCGTTTTTCAATCATTTTTGCAACGGTAAAAAACTCACTATTCCAGGCCCCCCGAAGACTAGATTGTGCTTTTTTCAATTCAGGTCCGAATTTTTCCACTCGTAAAATGCCTATTAAATTAGTGATATCAAATTACTATATACCTACATCACACATGGCCATTTGATAGTAGCCTCCCTAAGCATTGAGCTCATAACGTCCTGAACGCTTCCAGAATTATTCTGAGTAGGTGTCTGTTTGACAAAGTGGGCGGCTGTTGAGCGGGGGCGGTCTGGGGGTCTTATAGTCATCCAAATTAACTAGTGTATATTGATTGGATAGCAACACAACTGAGCTCTGTAACCAAGTTATTGTTATGTAGCTAGGGTGAACACCAAACGTGATTGGCTGATTTGTGGTCACGTGTTTTCAGATATAGTTAGTTTTGTTTTCTCTCGAATCTCAATGAATCTCAATCTCAAACATTGAGACTCTCGGGGAAACAAAACGAACTTTTTCCCTCGGGAGCAGACATTAAGTCATTTAGCCTAAGTGTATAATGTATCACTATACTTCCATTCTTCAACAAGGTAACTTCAAGATTTAAGATGGCAAATAACTAAATCGGTTTAACGAAATACTACGTTGTTTTCGAAAATAACCAGGCTATAAAGTAGACCAGGTTGATGAAAAATAACATGAAAGCTTAACATTTTGAAAGCTCTGCGCTTCCTCCAAAACAATTTAATTCATATACATGCAGATAAAATACCAACATTATGTATTTCTATATAGGTCAACGTTGTTACATCACTGGATGGGGCAGACTGCAAAGTGGGGGATCAACTCCAAAGGTCTTACAGGAAGCTCAAGTTCCGATTGTAACTCCACAAGAATGCAAAAAATCATACGGCAACTCGCGCATTACTGATAAAATGCTGTGCGCTGGATATTCTCGAGGTGGTACCGACACTTGCCAAGGCGACAGCGGAGGTAGGATTCAAGAATAAATATGAGTTTTTTAATCGCACTCAAAACGAGATGCTAGCAACCACTATAGGTTAAGCTTTACCAGTTAGTTCAGCAAAAACCAGATCGACTAAAACTACAGGAAGGAACTACTTCGGAATGAAGAATACATGCATTTTTTCTATATAGCACCTACTTGGTTAAAGCTTAAAAAGAACTTTAAAATATGTAACGGACTTCATCTAGTTGTCCCATAAAATTGCCACCAGCAAGATTGTGAACCTGCAAAGGTACAAGGTGCCATTAATCATTTACAGGAAACCGTTTTTAATTAAACAAACAAGACGCCTGCTCAAGGCGTTCGCTCCGTCAGTAAAGGGGAAGGGCAGCAACAGAATTGCTTGGGGCGCATGATGTAGGAAGTTGATAAGGCGTGGTATAGCACCCTATTATAACCTTGGTATTTTGGCAAAGAGTAACATAATACTGTACATACAAATCAGAAATGAAAGATATATCTCCAGTACTTTAATTATACTTGGTTTAGTCTACAGTATATATATATTATTAATTATATGATCGCATACAGTTCTACTTCAAATGTATAAATAGTACACACTTGCACATCTGGTTCCCAGAAGGCTTGGGATAAATATCATTGTGAAATAATAAGGTGATATATAGTATCTGGTGTTCCATCAAATTTCCACTTTGTTTTATGTCAGAATTGTATTCTGGGTTGAAAATTTTTTTCTTTTAGGATAGAGAAGAGAACGTAACAGTTTCCAATATTCTTCAGGGACATAACCATCAATCCATTACACATTAATAATTATAATTAATGAAGAGCAAAGCCGTTGATAACCTCCTCATGATAACCAAAGTCATGAGCAAAATTTGACAGATGACATATAGGCATAGAGAATATGACATGGTCATAGAGAATATGTTGTCTATAGCACAGTATAAATAAGGGGCCACGTCCATATTCATGTGGACACAAATAACGTCGAATCAACGTTAATATTTCACCCACCCACCCCAGATGTCGATCGGATCGATATTCAGTCGTATTTTGACCGATAGACTCACAATTATTGTACTTTACTACCGTCACTGCATGCCTGGGATTGTATTTTGATACAATATTTAAACAGTGATTTGGTTTTCGCCGGAGTGGCAATAAACAATACAAGTGAACCAAGATATAGCCGTTCTCAAAATTAAAATGTCCATAATACATGTCATATTCTTGTTGGTAGAAGTTGGCAACCATGGTAAATATTTATAAAACAATCTTTTAATGGTGACCTTGTTTACATGATATGTCTACTGACAGTCTACGAAATTAGAAAAGTTATGCGCCTGTGGAGGTTCCGTTGAACTTAGCCTTCAGCCTTCTGCATATAGCCTATATATAAGCGTAAGATATTTGGAAGTATAGAAGAAACAGAATAGCATGTTAAAATCTTACCAGTTTAAATAAAGCTAGCTTTCAACTGTCTTGGTGACCTATATATTAATAGCCTTAATTCAACCTGATTCGTTCTTTCGTTGTTGTTGCACCAACAAAAATACATTAATTCATAAAGAGTAAGTCCAGAGTACAACACAACATGAAAAACACACCACCATTCGGTGAAAATTTAGCGAAATTGCCAGAAATATTATTTTCCCACTCATCACGCAACCGCCATTTTGAAACTGAACTATATATATAAGTCATATGAAGCAGATTACTTGCAAAATCACCCATAATATCCATAAAATAACCGATGTACCTGTGAAATGTTCATTTTGTGACATCCGAAAGACAGACAATTAGAATTTTAAAGCTCTCTCGGGCTACGCCCGACGGAGCAATAAAATGTTGTATTAACCTGTTTTCCTTTCTCAGGTCCAATGGTTTGTCAACATAGTGATGGTTCATGGTATCTTAGTGGTGTGACGAGCTGGGGTCGTGGGTGTGCATCTGCCGGATACTATGGAGTTTATGCTCATGTTGCCAACCTTTACCCCTGGGTGAAGCAAGTTACAGGACTTTAATTTTAATATACTACCAGTAGTTTGATAGCAATACTCAATGATTGTGAACATGCAAATGCAATAGTGTAACCACATATTTTGTATTCATTATAGTCTAGTTAAATATTGTCTTAATTTTTGTATTATTTACGTGATCTCGTACTGTAACAATGTAAATACATTGTGCTTTTAACCAAAAAGATGCATGGATATACAATTGTCGTTCTATTTATACTATATTGTTAAACCAATGTAGAATGGGAAATTACATACACCATTATTTTACAACAATTAAAAACAAATATGAACAGAAATGAAAATCAGACTCTAAATCTCTGACTCTAAATGGTGTAGCTCAGGAACGAGAGTTTATGTGGGCGTGGTAGCCGTCCATACCGTATCCATAACATATATTGTTTGACGATTAGCTATAGTTAGTAACTTGTTAGTAAAGTCCGTATATTATGTGTTTTTGATCAAACGGAATCAGTTTGTAGTCTAAAGTCCCCAAACCAAAGGCGCGAAGCGTAACCCCAGGGCGAGGGTACTAATTCCGTCCGGCTATTTACACCAGGGAAAAGGAAAGCATTAGCGAGGTGCATTAGCATCAATAATCGCGGCTGTTTATAGTGATGCATGGGTGGATATCCACTGTCACTGATCACAACTGATGGTTAGTAACTATATGAACCCTTCAAAATGCGAAGCTATTGTCTTTTCAGCTAAAAAGAATAAACCTTTCCATCCTGAACTGTATTTGGATGATAGTACCATTTCAGAAGTGTCGTCACACACATAGATATATATATATATATATATATATATATATATATATATATATATATATATATATATATATATATATATATATTTTATCTTTATATGTGATAAAACACGACTACAAGTGCATTAAATGGCTTAAAAAACGACTCATCTTATACGAGTTCATTGGCGAAGTAATTTTTAAAATAAACTTTGTCTAAACCGAGAAAATCAAAGCTAAAGTTTATGTAAATTAACATGATTTATATATCACATATAAAACCACGACACGCTTATATGATTTTTCTTTGTGTTTTGCTCCTGAATTATTAATGAGTTTTTTAAATATATATATATGATAGTTTTGGAGTTGAAGCTGGTCTAAAATTCTTTTTAAAATACTAGAATATGTACAATAAAAAGTCTAAAAAAGTTCTAAATATAACGATATTTAAAACCTTGAACTATCCGAACTGCTCTTAGTACTCTGATGAAGGTTGCAGTTAGCAACCGAAAATTTAGAACTTTTTTAGACATTTTTATTGTACATATTCTAGTATTTTAAAAAGAATTTTAGACCAGCTTCAACTCTAAAACTATCATGTATTCCACTGGTCGCCCCAACAGCATATCTCTGTGAAGGTCGCGGGTTCGATTGGCCAAGTAGAATTTTCTACTTGCCCCGCGTCGACAATAGACCCATTGCACATGACGTCACAACGCCAGTGATGCATGATGCATCTGGAGGACAAATCAGCAATCTGTGCATGATATAACTTTTGTAAACAAACCAAACTTTATAAAAGTTTATAATAATTTTGTATTAAAAGGTTAATTTTTGCGTGAATGTGGTTGTTGTACCCGAACAGATAGGTAGCATCTGGAGGGCACTCTAAGGATTTGTGACGTTAGTGCAATGGGTCTATTCTGTCAAATCACGATTATTGCAGTATTGTTTGGTCGAAAAGTCATACGACTATTACTATTAGTGTTACCGGCTGCAGCCTATGATCAATCAGAAAGTGCTACCTTAATTTTTTGTTTACTTCAATACTTTATTCCACTAGCTATACACTGTTGTCCGTTGTTTCGACACAACTTCCAAGATAAAAACTTGGTTTAAACTATGGCACATGCAATTGGTAACAATTATGATGCACGTGTGTTCTCTGCAGTCTTATATATATACAAAAGGATTGTATATGAACAGTACGTTTATGACGTACATGCATGCATGGAATAATACATGTTGAGCCCTTTTACGCATGGACGAATAATTTAACATCATAACCTAGTTCAGCCACGTAAGCCAGATGAGTCAGTATACTCACTATTTTCATAATTAAAATAAGTGTTTAGTTGTGTAAATTATGTTGTGTTATCTCTTTTCACAACTGCATGATTGACATTGTTATTGTCACAGGGTGTTGACACACGTTATAGCTGTGCAAATTAATACATCAAATCGTCGAAAAATTTCCATTGAACTGATTCAATATAGATTATAGTATTTTAAGGAAATATGATTATGAATTGGACTTACGAGTTAAGACCATGCAATTGGTTCTTCAAATCACAATATATACATGGGTTGACCAAAGACCTCGCAAAATGAGAACTATATAAGATCTAATTAAGCTGTAATTTGGGCCAACTATACGGGTTTTCGTTCAGAGCATCCAAGTGGGTTTTTTTTGTTGGTTCGGATACAAAACATGACGGCTTATTGTACTGCAGAATACCAATGTATACCCTATGGTCGTCCCCTCCCGGTTGACATGTTTCAAGCATATAACAATGTCCCAGAAAAAGTGCAATATAGTGGTGTTCCTGATTTTTACACAGCCAATTATTATAGTATATAGAAAATTCATTTGGTAATATAGAAGAACCTAGCTGTTTTACAAAGTATGTATGCGTTAAGTGTCAATAATAGTTTGATAATCCCTCACTAAAAACAGACTTCATCTCTTATAAATGCCAACATGCAGACTTGATGTAACTCTTTACGACACAAGCAATAGCTAATATGTTAATATGATATGATCTTTAAGTTGTAGTAATGGTCGCTACAGTGAAAAGTATCCCACAGCCTGCCATGCAGTCTATACTCGTTTTTCGTTGTCGGCATGAAAGTAGCTCCACGCAGTTTTCAAAAAGTTCAGGTATACAGTATAACAGTTTGGCAGTTCTAAACGTCGTATTTTTAGGTTTTATATGCAGATATCAGCATGCTCGTCTATTTTAATGTCGACTCTTCTTTCAAATTACGTCCTAGTTTTGGCAACACATGCATAGTTCGTTGCTATAGCAACAGAAAAATAACTATTGCTTTATGTAATTTTCATATGTAATTTTCTTTAATGCACTATTTTACTTAGAACATAGACTGACAATAAGCAAAATATTAAAAAATTCTATAATGCATTTTTTTCAAAAACGCAAAAATGTCGTTTTCTTAGATAAAAATTTTTCGGCATTACAGAAATTTTTTTATTTTTGATAGATTGAAAGACTTCACTTTAGCAGTACAATATACAGTGTGCAAAATTTGAACACAGGTCACCGTAGAAAATAATGAGATAGCGCCTTTCTAATTATGCCAGCAATTGCATAGAATACAATGCGTTATGAAAATACGTACAATGGCGCGAGATGGCGTATAAGCTGATCATATCGCGAACACGAATAGTCACGCGAGTTTTTTCAATGTTTTGTTTTTGGCAACTTTTCGCGATTCTTGTATAAGAAATTTTGTGTCGATTAATATATCGAGCCACCATTTTCCTGCATACACTCCTTCGCAGGCATATATTTAGCAAACATCTTGACTTATTTAAGAAAACTAATCACGCATTTAATTTACATTGTGAACGCAACCTCGTTAACCTCGTTGCATTTAGTTTGTTATAACAGAAGAACATTTTTAAAAACATATGCAGAATTTAATTAATTAATTTGGCCATTAAAATTATTATAAAATACTTTCTTTTGGTTTAATCCTATATATTTAATTCAAATATAATTTGAATTTAATGCAATATTTTTTCACTGAAATATTATGTACAACTACGCAGATGCAAACGCGTCTTCAGTGCATTGTTGTACTGTACAAAGAACAACGTTGAAGCCGCCAAAATGGCATCAATGAATTTCAGTGCATGGCTTATTTTTAATTGCAGGACGGTCGGGAGCTACTAACTTCCTAATAAGGGCTTTCCGCTCGAAACATCGACGTTTTTCTTGTATATTTTTCAGGCGGTTGTATCCCTCTCAATTCGCAGCCATCTCATTAAGAGGAGATTTTTTTGTACGTTACGTAACACGCGCTCAAAACTAATGCGTATAATATATCACTTGAGGTTATGACTAAACTCAAAATTTTCATTTTTCGATACCTTTCTCAATTGGCAAACAAACGTAAAAAGTATGTTTAATGCTTTATCTGTAAAATAATGCTAAAATGAAAAGATTTTAGATGATACGCCAAAAAGAAAATGATGTCTGAAGTTCAGTAAGTTTTGCTTATATGGCTGTAAATATGGCGTCAATTTTAAAGCATCATTGATACTATTGTATTTTAATTGACAATTATTTAACTATTATTTTATGTTTCTCAACCGGCAGATGCATTTAAAAAGGTTGCTAACTCTATAAACTAGAGAATAAAGCTAAAACAAAGTAATTTTGAGAGGAACGCCAAAAGATTTTAGGTTTTGAACATTTTTCATTGCAAATACGTGACATTGAAAAAAATAGCCTCTTAACAAGAGTCCATCCTGGTGGGAAAGCGTCTCCATCACTGAGTAATATAATTTAGAGTAAATTGTGTCAGTTTGCTGGCTTCGTCCCCCCTTCTCCTCCCCTTCCCCTCCCCTCCCCCGCCATTTGGGATGGATTTTCACTTTTATCATGATAATTATATTAATTCTTTTCACATAGTTGAATAAACTTGCTGTTTCAACAAAGATTTGTTTAGGCGGCGACATAAAACCATACAAAAAAGTAACTGAACTAACAGTTCTATTCCACGCTGCTGTAAAACCAAACATTTTGCCAGCTTCATAGCAAATTCAGCTGGTCAGCTCGGCAAATATGGGAAAAAACTATCAGTATATAATTCCAGCGTTACAAGTAGCGAGCATCGTATACATTTTGCTTTCAACAATGGCACAATTAACATTATTGGTGTGCCTACTCTTTCTTACACAAGTATTGGCTCAAGGTACGTTTGATACACAATTATATGTTAATAGAATTAAGCAATAATTTTGACATAAGAAGCCTCCTAATTGCATGGGGTAGTGTACTCCAATTAATTTTCATATTTTTTGCGCTTTTGAACGTCAAATAACGAGAGTATACAAAACAGAAAAACATTGTATACAAAACAGGAAAACATTGTATAGGTTCAGAAGTTTACACTATCAAATTCAATATCAAATGTACTCAGTTCAGTGAAACTATTGTCTTTTGGGTGAATCTCTATTCCTTATATAAAACGATAAACTTACATCGTCTTCAAAATTTGTTTTTCTTATTGAAATATACCTTGTATAGGCCAGGTATAACGTGGTAAAACCTACGAATAGTGCCCCAGATTTTGAAAAGATTAAACAGAATTGAAGTTTTCCGACCCATACCACGCGAATGAGTCGAATTGAACGCAAATTCTAATCGCGGGACTAGAATTTAATAAACTAAACCCAAGCTCAGTGTCTTTTAAGGAATATTCATTCCTTAAAAGGCAAGGGAGGGGGGGGGATTGTATAGTAAATTTTATTACGGTCATAAATGAAGGCTTGACCAAAGGGAGTGTGTATTTATAAATTTAACTAATTAACGTTTAATATTTTACTGTAACTTTAACTTTAACTTTGAGTTAACTCTCGATCTCAGAAAACCACACTGATTTTGTGGGTACCCGAAAAATATTGAAAATTTGGTGTCACAGGACCGCCTTCACTTCTGGGTAGTTGAGATCACGGGTAGAATCAATATCATTGAAAGGTTAAACTAGAAGTTACTATCGCAAGGAAAGTGCTGCCTCACCCCCAAGGGATCATAAGGCAGCATGCAGAATTTGCTGAATAAGGGTCAGTTTATATGATCCTGCTTTGCCGTATTAAATAAATAAATTACTGTGCACGATTCAACAAA